ACTTTGATTTTACATAAGGACTGACTTTGTCACCTGTGTTGCCCTGGCTGTGTCCCCAGATAACCCAGAATCACTGGAACTTAAGGAGTTGATTTGACCTAGTTTTTTGTTTGAAAATGGAGTGAGCAAAGGAGATGTTGCCCTCTCTGTGTCTTTAGCTCCACCGATCCAGCATTTCCCTAAGGATTTCCATGAATAAAGAAGAGTTGGCTGGTGTGTAACTGGTGCGTCCGGTTAGTGTTATATATTTCTACTTTGATTTTACATAAGGACTGACTTTGTCACCTGCTGACTCTGTCACCTGTGTTGCCCTGGCTGTGCCCCCAGATAACCCAGAATCACTGGAATTGCTGACAGAGTGACAGACTGACTGCTATCGATCTGTTCTGAATTCCAGATTTATCCCCCTGCCTGGCACCAGCGAAGGAGGTTGGCCACTGCTGGGATACAAAGGCTGACCTAGTGAATCTATAACCTGAGTGCTGATCCAGATGTTGCTGTGAAATACCAATAATGTGCTGTGATGACCTCCTTTGCCAACGTACCAGGTCGTAGGTCTTGAGGCATTGATCCAAGGGAGTAGGAAATTGAGCTGAATGTAGGTATAGAGGAGAAGGGAGGGATTTGTTTCAGCAGTTTTTGCTCAGCATCAAGCTTATTTCCAGTTTACAGTGTTTGCTGAAAGGCAATAAAATAAATAGTAGAAGAATAATGGCGATAAAAAAGCTTCCAGGGAATTCTTCAGTGCAAAACAATTGTTTTGTGTTCCTGTTGTCTTACCAAGAAAAACGTAAATTGTGAATTAATTTTCATTTACATTGTAATACTACTACTTCTATACTAATTGATTAGAAATGTAAATTAATGACTTTAAGCTTAGGGAGGGCAGGGATGGATGGGATATTGGGAATTAGGAGTTGTTCCCTGGCAGGGTGGGCAGGCCCTGGCACAGGGTGCCCAGAGCAGCTGGGGCTGCCCCTGGATCCCTGGCAGTGCCCAAGGCCAGGCTGGAGCAGCCTGGGACAGTGGAAGGTGTCCCTGCCATGGCAGGGGGGGCACTGGGTGGGCTTTGAGGTCCCTCCCAGCCCAAACCATGCTGGGATTCTGTGATTTCAATATCAGTCTGTAAAAGAAAAAAAATACTGCTAAATTTTAGCAGGGATTTCTCTAAATACATCAGGCTAAAGATAAGACTTATGCCCTGGAAGCTCTTTAGAAAAGATATTTAACATGATTTTTGCCCAAATGTGTCTATAGGTTCTTTATAATGTAGCTGCATGTGAAGAAATCCGCAGTGGCTTTGTGTCATGCTGAGTAACAACATGGGACACTGTTTCATGGGACGGGGGGCCATGATCCCAAGGAAGCTGAAGCCGTTTCTCTGCAGGATGTTGTCGGGTTACAAACCCAAAAACGACGTCAAGGACTCTTACAAAATCCTGGAGCTGGAGGAAGGCTGTTCCCTCGATGACGTCAGAAACTCCTATCACAATCTTGCCAAAAAATACCACCCGGACAGCAGCTCCGGCATGGCCGATTCCAGGGCCTTCATAAGGGTGGAGGAGGCCTACAGGGTTGTGCTCAGCGACCTGGCAGCCAAACAGAAATGCGAGCCCGGCGAGGAGGAGGAAGACCAGTTCAAATCCAAGTCCCTGCAGCACAGGCACTACCTGAGCTTCGAGGGCGTGGGCATCGGCACGCCGAGCCAGCGGGAGAAGCAGTACATGCAGTTCCGCGTGGACCGCGCCACCGAGCAGGTGCTGGAGTACCGGCAGCAGAGGCTGGAGAGCCGCTACGCCGGCAGCGACCTCAGCATGGCCAAGGACGTGCGGCAGAGCAAGAAGGTGAAGATAACTCAGGCCGTGGAACGGCTGGTGGAGGACCTCATCCAGGAATCCATGGCCAAAGGAGACTTCGACAACCTCAGCGGCAAAGGGAAGCCTTTGCAGAAGTTCTCGCACAGCCCCCACATCGACCCCATGACCCACAACCTGAACAGGATCCTCATCGACAACGGCTACCAGCCCGAGTGGATCCTGCTGCAGAAGGAGATCCGGGAGACCATCGAGCGCCTGAGGAAGAGCATCGTGGCCTCCAGGAGGAAGCTCGGGGAGCCGATGACGCCGCCGGAGCAGAAGCAGTGGGGCCGGATCTGCGAGCAGTTCGCCGAAGACATCAGGAAGTTGAACAAGAGGGTCGACAACTTCAACCTGGTGGTGCCCATCCTGAGCAGGCAGATGGTGCATTTCAGCACCGACAAGGAGATCCTCCGAGCGCGAAAGAATTACGAGGCCGTGGTGGAAAAGGTTTCTGATCCAGGCAGGAAGGAAAACGGGGGGGAAGAGGGCAAAAGGTTTGGGTGGAAGTCTTCTCTCTTGAAGTGGTTAAAGCTTACACCGAAATAATTTCGCACTAATTCCTCTTGTCAGGGTTTTGAATGCACTTTATTAATGGAATATAGCACTTGAGAAATTTCAGGTTCACTGGAAATGTCAAATTCGCACTGTTACCGTACTTGAAGGAAATTTGGTTGTGTGGTGAGCATTTGCATTATAAATAATTGAGTTATTTTTAAATATTATTAAATGAAATGCGCCAGTTTGGGTTGTGGTAGAGTTAATCTTTCCCTCATTGTTAGTCTGGGGCTGCGTGCTGCGTTTGGGCTGGAGGCAGTGTGACCATTCCAGGGTGTTTTTATTGCTGGGCAGGGCTTTTGTGCCCTTCACACCTCCCCACCCCTGAGCAGCTGCTGGCTGGGTTAAACCACAGCAGCAACAAATCAGTTCTTCCCTTGCAGGTCACTTTCCTTCTGCTGAAATCCAAATTAATGCTTCGCTTCAGCACGGGCTGTAAGTATTTTTACAGGCTCTTACCACTTCAAAGAGGAAACAGAGGCATAAAAATAACATTAAAGTGGAGGCAAACGTCTTGCTGGGCCCTGTTTGACCTTTGCACTCTTATTTCAATACTTGCAACTCTTGAATTTTTGGCAGGTTCTCTGCATATTTTTTAAAAGTACATTCACCTCTTCAAGGGTAAATTCAGTGGCTGTGATGGGAGGGTTCTTGGCTTGGAATGTACACCTGCACAAGTCCATTTTTACATCTTTAACACAGAAAGCAGTCTTGGAAATTTATTTATTGGTGAACACCCCCCCTGCCATGGGCAGGGACACCTCCCAGCTCTGTGTACGAATGTTTATTTTAATAATTTATTCTTGTTTATAACGAAAACTGTTAATTAAAGATACTTTTCTGAAGGTCCTTTGACACAGTACTCTCGAAAACCTCACATTTTGATTCGCGTTAGGATCTTCCGGAGTTAGATCAAAATTGCTGTTCAGACAAATCCAGTGGGAGATTTCAAGAGCAAATCAAATTTATGCCCAAGGGTAAACAGAAGCCACTTTGCAGGAAATGAGACCCACTTTGGCTCACGAAGAAGCATCAGCAGTTCCAAAACCAGAGGTGCCATAGAGGGTGAATCAGCAGACTGAGGGATTTTTATGTTCTTATTAAAACCACTCGGGTTTAAATGGGGCAGGTGTGACCGAGGCATTTCAAATCAGCCTTGCACTGATGCCATCAGAACCTGCCAGGCACAAAAATCCACTTCTGCAACATTTACAGTGACGATGAAAAAAATAATTTCCACTTGAATGTTCCCCAGGTGTGTGGAGGAGTTCAGCATTTCAGGGCTTGTCTATAATTTTGTTGCTCTTAAGAGGAGTGTTTAGTCAATACTAAGGAATATCAACTACTGCACACAGAAAATCCAGGAGAGAGTGGCCTTCAGAAGGAATTTTTCTGGCTGACACTGGACTGTTAATTTGAATTTGATAAATGTCATTGATAAATGGAACCAAAACCACGTTGTTTATTCCCAGAACTTCCTATTTGTTGGTCTAATGACCACATGCCGTGTGGCTTGAAAGGCTTAAGTGACATCTTAATATGAAGACAAAAGATTGTATAGGTATATAATTTTATATTTTATGAAGATACAATATTTGAGGTGTCAGTTTTACTCAGGGTGAGGAATCTGTTTCTTGTCCAACAGGACAAGTGGGAATGGTTTGAAACTGAGAGATTTAAACAAAGTACTGAGAAGAAATTCTTCCCTCCTCTGGGCACTGTAAGTGTGGAGTCCTGTTGAGGATTTCTCTGTTTCAGAGCAGTAACATCTCAGAATGAACATGGATATTCAGAGAAGGCTCTGAGGAGAAGGAATGAAGGAGAAGCAGGAGCAGGGCATCTTGTAAAAGGAATATGTAAGTGATAAATCTTTATTCTTAGTGCCCCTCTGAGGGAGCAGGGAGTCTCCGGGCTCGATGAACACAGTGTGTATGTGTAAGTTAAGGTTAAAAAAGGAAGCAGAGGGGACTTTGAGCACAATCTGATTCTTTCAAGGCCACATCTGTGAGATGTTCCCTCTAATCCTCAAAATGCTAACTTTGATCCAGTTCTTTTCTTTGCCCAGGGCTTTTATTCAACATCAGTCTTTTGTCACTTACTTGTTTTGCTGTTTTGGGCGGTAGTGTTTCACAGTGAGTTTATTGACGAGTTTGTTACCCCCATATTGCTTGTCCTTTCAACCCAGACCATTCCGTGATTGATCCTATGAATTAGAATTTATCCACGTTTATGAATTCCGCTTAGTTTCATTAAACCACACACCGGACTGAGGTTTAAGAGCATTTAGGGGTGAACTTTATCTATTCCAGCATGGGAATGACACTATTGTGCTGTTCCGTGGGGCAGCGGAGGAGGCCGGGGGTCATTCACGGCCGTGTGGGGCGGCTCTGGGGCCTGAGGGCGCCGTGAGGGGCGGCCATGGCGGAGTGGGCGGGGCCTGCGGGGAAAGGCGGGAGCGCGCTGGCGCCGCCTCTTCCCGCCCCGCCCGAGCGGAAAGGGGCGGAGCTTGTGGCCTCGCGTTGACCAATCGCAACGCTCTGTCCTCACCCGGCCTTCGGCTGACGCGCAGCGCTCGGTTGCGATTGGCCGGAGGGCGCGTCAGTCAGGGCGCTCGGTGCCCTCAGGCGGAAGCGTCTCGCCCGGGAGCGGGTACGTGCGGCCGCGCCGCGCCGGGCCGGGCCGGGCGGCACCGGGACCGGGATGGGGACAGGGACAGGGATGGGGAGCGAGAGAGAGCGGGACCCGCGCCGGGAGGGACCCCCGGGCCGCTCCCCTGGGACACCGGCGCGGCCCGGTGTGTGACGGGTCGTCCGGCCCTGAGGACGCGCCGCGGGGTCTGCGGGGGAGGTTAAAGGAGGAACGCCTTGTTTTGTGTAAAGAGCAGCGCGCTCGGTCGGGCCGCAGGGCTCGGGGCTCCCCGTCACGCCCGGTCCCACGGCAGGCAGGGCTCGAGCCCGGCCTGCGGAGCATGGGGAAATGCAGCTGGGGTCATTCCCTGCCTCCCGCGCTCCTCAGGCTGGAACAGCGCTCCTCCAGAAGCCGTGGGGCTGAGCAGCGCATTGCTGAGAAGGGAAAAGGCATGGAATGGGTTGGGTTGGTTTGGAGGGACCGTAAACGCCGCCCAGTGCCAGCCCTGCCACGGCAGGGACACCTTCCCCTGTGCCAGGCTGCTCCTCAGTGCCCAGCCTGGCCTTGGGCACTGCCAGGGGTCCGGGGGCTTTGTAAGAAATGTAAATATAATTAATATCGCTTCTTCATTAGTTTGCCACGCAGCCTTGTTTTTGTGTCATTTAAAACTTCCTTTCTTTGCTCTTGTCTTTCTGTAATACTTAAAAATTGGCGGAGCTCAGTGCTGTGGGATAGGGAGAACTGAAAGTGAAACTGCTGGAAGTTACTGAAATAAGTGGGAAAATGGCAGTGGCTGTTACAGAAGAGTTCACATAAGCAAGCCCCTGATGTACTTTTCATCCTCTGTGCATGTGGGGAAATGTGTGTCCTGAAGGATGTTCTGATGAACTGCTTGTGGAAGGTGCATTTTCATCAAGGAAAACTTGAATATTCTTCATGCCTTTAAGTTTCTTCCCTTTCTCCTTCTGTCTTTTCCTCTCTTTGGAAGCAGGCAGTTCTGTTCTTTACTAACCCAAGGATATTCCACATTAAGGCGTTTTTCTTCCTGCAGACTTCTTGTGTTTCCTTGCAGCTGCTTTCAGTATTTTGTCCAGGTGAAATCAGCCCATCTGGGGAGAGAAAAGCTGATTTTCAGGTGCAAATGTTGAGCTGCCGTTGTGTTTGTCTGCCTAACAGAGCAGTGGGTTTGCTCTCAGTGCTGGCAGCTGCCAGGGGTGGTTTTTTCAGCTCCAGTTGTGCTCCAGAGTCTCCAGTTTGTTCCTGCAGATGGGTTTGTGTTTGCTGGACAGGGTGAGGAGTGCTCCTGCCTGCCCTTGGGAGAGGGGAGGAGGCTCATGCTGGGAAGGGCGTTGAAGGACAGGAATGCCAAGGGCTTTGCCTGTTTCCTGCCTGGGAGCTGTGTGGGTGGGAGAGTTCAAACCAGAGGGTGAGTCCTGCACCTGTATCCAGGTGGGAAATTCCAGCTGAAGGCATCTGCCTCCCCCAGGGCTGTGTGCAGGGAGGGCCCTGTCCCTGTGTCCCTGCTGATCCTCCTGGGGACAAACCTCAGCCTGGCTCTTGTGCTGCCCATGGAGCCTCAGCTTTGCTGTGGGGCTGGGATTAGAAATGCAGTTTATTGTGTTCTTCCTCTTTTTCTGAGGAATTATGGAGGATCACAGATCGTGGAATGTTTGGGTAATCCCTCTGCTCATCCTGGAGCCTCCTCTGGGCTCTCTGCAGCAGCTCCAGCTCCTCCTGTGCTGGGGCAGCTCTGCAGGTGGGCTCTCACCTGTGGGGCACAATCCCAACCCCAGTCCCAATCCCTTTCCCAGTTCTTGCTCCCCAGCCCAGGACACCTCTGCCTCTCTGACTGCCCTGTCCACTGTTGCCTCGTGGCCCTTTCATCCCACAGGGATGTTCTGCTGAGGTCCCTTGGGAGAATTTCTCCCCTCCCCTGTATCAGTGCATTCCTTTTCTCTGCCATTTTAAATCCAGGATGTTTTAGCTGGATTTCTTGAACACATTTTGGGGAGTTGCCCACCCCTTTTGTGCTGTCCCTGTGCCAGAGCAGCTGGGGCTGCCCCTGGATCCCTGGCAGTGCCCAAGGCCAGGCTGGACACTGGGGCTGGAGCAGCCTGGCACAGGGGAAGGTGTCCCTGCCATGGCAGGGTGGCACTGGCTGGGATTTGAGGTCCCTCCCAACCCAACCCAGTCCGTAATTCCCTGTTTCCCTGCAGCCATTCCCAGGCAAGGCCCCTCAGCTCCACAGTGGGGCAGCAGCAGGAGCTGTGAGAGTTCCAGTGTGGGTGGGTGAGGAGCTGGGAGGGGAAACAGGAATTGCTGCAGGACAGGGACAGCCACAGCTCTGAAGAGGAACAAAGAAAATGGAACCATTTAAGAGTGGAAAATGAGGAAGGGCTTCAGGGGCAGCTGTAATTCGGCTGAGGGGCTGGAGAATTGCTGAGGGAGCTGGGAAGGGGCTGGAGAATTGCTGAGGAGCTGGGAAGGGGCTGGGGAATTGCTGAGGGAGCGGGGAAGGGGCTGGAGAATTGCTGAGGAGCTGGGAAGGGGCTGGGGAATTGCTGAGGGAGCGGGGAAGGGGCTGGAGAATTGCTGAGGAGCTGGGAAGGGGCTGGGGAATTGCTGAGGGAGCGGGGAAGGGGCTGGAGAATTGCTGAGGAGCTGGGAAGGGGCTGGGGAATTGCTGAGGGAGCGGGGAAGGGGCTGGAGAATTGCTGAGGAGCTGGGAAGGGGCTGGGGAATTGCTGAGGGAGCGGGGAAGGGGCTGGAGAATTGCTGAGGAGCTGGGAAGGGGCTGGGGAATTGCTGAGGGAGCGGGGAAGGGGCTGGAGAATTGCTGAGGAGCTGGGAAGGGGCTGGGGAATTGCTGAGGGAGCGGGGAAGGGGCTGGAGAATTGCTGAGGAGCTGGGAAGGGGCTGGGGAATTGCTGAGGGAGCGGGGAAGGGGCTGGAGAATTGCTGAGGAGCTGGGAAGGGGCTGGGGAATTGCTGAGGGAGCGGGGAAGGGGCTGGAGAATTGCTGAGGAGCTGGGAAGGGGCTGGGGAATTGCTGAGGGAGCGGGGAAGGGGCTGGAGAATTGCTGAGGAGCTGGGAAGGGGCTGGGGAATTGCTGAGGGAGCGGGGAAGGGGCTGGAGAATTGCTGAGGAGCTGGGAAGGGGCTGAGCCTGGAGCAAAGGAGGCTCAGGGGCCCTTGTGGCTCTGCACAAGTCCCTGCCAGGAGGGGACAGCCGGGGGGGTCGGGCTCTGCTCCAGGGAACAGGGACAGGAGCAGAGGGAACGGCCTCAGGCTGGGCCAGGGCAGGCTCAGCTGGGCCAGCAGCAGGAATTTGCCCATGGAAAGGGGGCTCAGGCCTTGGCAGGGGCTGCCCAGGGAGCTTTGCAGTGCCTGTCTCAGGGAGTGTTCAGGAGCAGTGTGGATGTGGCCCTTGGGGACACTCTTCAGGGGTGGTGCTGGCTGGGACTGGATGATCTCAAAGGGTTTTTCCCACCCTGATGCTCCTGGAATTCTGTAGCAGCACAGCAGTTCCCTGTGAAAGCTGTGGGATGAGCAGGGATCTGGCCACTGCCAGGGAAAGGTGAGAGGAGAATTCCTGAGGAGAATAAGCAGATGGCTGAGCCCAGATGCTGCACAAATTAAAATAACTTTGGAATTTGAAATGGCTTCACAAGTGTGGGTGTCTGGAGGACAAACTTTTGGATCGTGTTCCAGGAGGTGACCTGTGTTTGTAGCACAGACAAACTGTTTATGGATTGGTTTTTATTCCACTTCTTCTCACTGCTGTTATTAACCTGAAAATGCTCTCCAGCAGTCTGTGCTGTCACACAGTTGTGAAGGACATTTTTGTTAGTCTTTACCAAATGGCTGGAAATGAATTATGTCAGGTTGGGAGATGCAGAAGTTTGACAGTACTAAACCAGATTAGAATGGTGCTAAGAGCAGTTGTGAGTCAGTTAATTAACTTTACTTTCCTCTTCCCATATTTAAGGTTCCCTGTGACCTTTTCTCTGTGCAGCAAGACCTTCTTTGCCCTCAGAATCGGTTTGATTTGCTGAGTTGGGCTCTTTTCTCTGTGTTAAAAAGGCACTAAATCATATTATCTGTTAGATTGGAGACTGGAAATGTTTGTTAGAGTTTACTTGAGAGTCCTTGACATGGCTTAAGGACCAAGTTCTGCTGTAAGCTTTGGGGCTGTGTGGTGATTTTCTTTTGTAGTTCTGTGTAAGGCAGGTTGTTTTGTGAATACAGCTCAATCCAGCATCTCCAGAGTTTATCATGGAATGCTTTGGGTTGGGATGGCCTGAAAACAATCCTGTTCCCTCTCCTGCCATGGGTGGGGCAAATTCCACTGGAAGGTTCTGTATAAAAACCTGAATTCTGTAAAAAACCCCAGACTGTAACTCAGAGAGTTGTCCAACATCTCGAGATGTTCCTGATTGATACTGATGCCTTGAGAGGCTCCCTGGACAGAGTTCAAGGATAAAGCAGGGATTTATTAAAAGGCCTTTAAAGGATCCACCTTGGGCAGCACAAGAGCCTGGCTGTTGTCACCATCACATTTTCTGGAAAATCTCTTTGCCCAGGATTCTTCTCCCAGGAAGCTGAGAAACCTCAGCGAAAAATGAAAACAATATTATCTGCTTTGCTTCTCCTGTGTTTTGCTACTTTGGAATGTAGTTTGGACGTTGTTTACCAACAAGTCCATGTTTCATTGGCTGCATATAAATTGTTTTTACTTATTGGCCAAGTACAGCCAGCTGTGTTGAGGCTCTGGAGAGAGTCACAGGTTTTTCACTAGTATCCTTTCTCTGTTCTTTAGCATTCTTTATATATAGCATATATAAAGCATATAGTATATGCTTTATAGTATAGCATTCTTTAATATAATATCATAAAATAATAAATTAGCCTTCTAAGACCATGTAGTCAGATTCATCATTTTCCTTTCTTCATCAGGGGACCCCAAAAACTACCACAGGCTGTGGCTCCACCCATGATGGACAATGGGTCAGGAGTTCTCTCACTTTTATAAGTTCTGGTCCATTTCCATACTGAGGTTAATTACAATTACAGCTCCAGGCTGTGCAGTCCCATCCTCACAATTTCCTCTCCTCAACGTGCTGGTTTTACACTTTTTGGGGCTGAAGCTGCAGCAGTGTCCGTGGTTCTGGGCTGGAAAAGGATTGTGTGACTGAGCTGTGAGGAAAACGATTGTTCTGTGTGGCTGAGCTGTGAGGAGAGCTGCTGACACTTCATATGAAGTTCAGAGTCACACACTAAGGCAGCACAGAATCTGGGAAACACGAAAGCTCAGACTGAAGGCACCAACACTGAGCTCACCCTTGGCTGTGTTTCAGGCACTCAGGAGCAGCTGTTGATGGAAGAGTCCGGGAGAGAGAGCTGGGACAGCGGGACAGCGTGAGCCGTGCCCGGGGCACCGTGGGCCATTCCCAGGACACCGTGGGCCATTCCCAGGACACTGTGGGCTCTGCCCAGGGCGCTGTGAGCTGTGGCCATGGCAGGATTCCTGGACAATTTCCGCTGGCCGGAGTGCGAGTGCATCGACTGGAGCGAGCGCCGCAACGCCGTCGCCTCCATCGTGGCCGGGGTGCTGGTGAGCCACAAACTGTCACACTGGTGCCTCAGGTTGTGCCAGTTGACCCTCTTAACTTGCCCAAACCCAGCCTGTTCCTTCCAGGGGTCACTGTGGGGTTGTCAGCAGCGTTGTCACAAGTCCTGTGAGGTTGCTGATCATGAGCCGTTTCCGCTCTCTCTCCTTGAAAGGAAATTCCTCGTGGATTTCCTGCAGAATTGGATCTGTTAGAGCTGCTCTGTTCTGCACCATCTCCATCTCATGTGTGTTTTGAGTCTGGATTCTTGTTCTCATGGGGAGCAAGGAACAGGGAATTTCACAGAAATTGCACAGGGAATTTCGTAGAATCCCAGAATGGTTTGAGTTGGGAGGGACCTGAAAGCCCATCCCTGGGCAGGGACACCTTCCACTGGCCCAGGCTGCTCCCAGCCCCAGTGTCCAACCTGGCCTTGGGCACTGCCAGGCATCCAGGGACAGCCACAGCTGTTCTGGGCATAAATTTCTCCATACCCCACTCCTTAATGTGAACAGAAAGTGTGGCTGATTCCCAAACACTCCCCTAAAAACAGCAGCGTTGGGATTTGTGCAGGCGTTGCCCATCGAACACGTTTACATCACTGTCCAGAAGAACTGGTGCTTGTTAGAAGCCAGTTGAGGCAGTGCTCTCCAGACCCCTGGCCTGGTTCCCCTGGCTCCTGTGCCCCCCCAGGCTCACCCCCTGTGTCTGTGCCCAGTTTTTCACAGGCTGGTGGATCATGATCGACGCTGCCGTGGTCTATCCCAAGCCGGAGCAGCTGAACCACGCCTTCCACACCTGCGGGGTCTTCTCCACACTGGCCTTCTTCATGTGAGTGTGGGCACAGGGACTCATCACACAACCACCAGCACCCACACAGGCTGTACTGACAGGGTGCCCAGCATGGATAAATCCAAGAATCAGGGAATGCTTTGGGCTGGGAGGGACCTTAAATCCCAGCCAGTGCCACCCATGCCATGGCAGGGACACCTTCCCCTGTGCCAGGCTGCTCCAGCCCCAGTGTCCAGCCTGGCCTTGGGCACTGCCAGGGATGGCCCAGGACACCGTGGGCCATTCCCAGGACACTGTGGGCCATTCCCAGGACACTGTGGGCTGTGCCCAGGGCGCTGTGAGCTGTGGCCATGGCAGGATTCCTGGACAATTTCCGCTGGCCGGAGTGCGAGTGCATCGACTGGAGCGAGCGCCGCAACGCCGTCGCCTCCATCGTGGCCGGGGTGCTGGTGAGCCACAAACTGTCACACTGGTGCCTCAGGTTGTGCCAGTTGACCCTCTTAACTTGCCCAAACCCAGCCTGTTCCTTCCAGGGGTCACTGTGGGGTTGTCAGCAGCGTTGTCACAAGTCCTGTGAGGTTGCTGATCATGAGCCGTTTCCGCTCTCTCTCCTTGAAAGGAAATTCCTCGTGGATTTCCTGCAGAATTGGATCTGTTAGAGCTGCTCTGTTCTGCACCATCTCCATCTCATGTGTGTTTTGAGTCTGGATTCTTGTTCTCATGGGGAGCAAGGAACAGGGAATTTCACAGAAATTGCACAGGGAATTTCGTAGAATCCCAGAATGGTTTGAGTTGGGAGGGACCTGAAAGCCCATCCGTGGGCAGGGACACCTTCCACTGGCCCAGGCTGCTCCCAGCCCCAGTGTCCAACCTGGCCTTGGGCACTGCCAGGCATCCAGGGACAGCCACAGCTGTTCTGGGCATAAATTTCTCCATACCCCACTCCTTAATGTGAACAGAAAGTGTGGCTGATTCCCAAACACTCCCCTAAAAACAGCAGCGTTGGGATTTGTGCAGGCGTTGCCCATCGAACATGTTTACATCACTGTCCAGAAGAACTGGTGCTTGTTAGAAGCCAGTTGAGGCAGTGCTCTCCAGACCCCTGGCCTGGTTCCCCTGGCTCCTGTGCCCCCCCAGGCTCACCCCCTGTGTCTGTGCCCAGTTTTTCACAGGCTGGTGGATCATGATCGACGCTGCCGTGGTCTATCCCAAGCCGGAGCAGCTGAACCACGCCTTCCACACCTGCGGGGTCTTCTCCACACTGGCCTTCTTCATGTGAGTGTGGGCACAGGGACTCATCACACAACCACCAGCACCCACACAGGCTGTACTGACAGGGTGCCCAGCATGGATAAATCCAAGAATCAGGGAATGCTTTGGGCTGGGAGGGACCTTAAATCCCAGCCAGTGCCACCCATGCCATGGCAGGGACACCTTCCCCTGTGCCAGGCTGCTCCAGCCCCAGTGTCCAGCCTGGCCTTGGGCACTGCCAGGGATGGAGAATGCAATACTTACCTCAAAATGAAACAATTGACTGCATTTCCCTCTGTTTTTGCATTTTTTACAGCTGTTCCTTGCCCAAAACTTCCTCAAATGGGAGGGGTAACAGTAGCCTGGCTTTTGTTGTGGAGATGTAAATAAAAGTAACAACTTTTATTGAATCATTCAGTATTGGCAAGAAAAAGGGATGACTTGGGATTTGTGACTACACAGAATGCCAGGGAATTTTCCCAGAATTTGTCACATCTTAAAAAAAAAAAAAGCTGGGGTTTTACTTAGGACTCTAAATTAATTTTCTGTGATCTGAAGTGTATCTCCTTTTTTCATCCCCAGGATAAATGCTGTATCAAATGCACAGGTGAGAGGAGACAGCTACAGTGATGGATGCTTAGGAAGAACAGGTAAATTAACTCTACAAATCCTGCTCAGGTGAAGGACTGCACGTTTACCTGCTGGGGTTTTTTCCAAGTGGTGGTGAAAAAAATAATCAGGAGATAAGGAGTAGGAGAGAACTTGTGTGAATTAGTTTCTTTACAGAATTAACCCTTGGAGATAAGTGCTGGCTTTGTTAAAAAGGGAACTTGGTGAAATTCAGCTTCTGGATGTCTTGGCTTCCTAAACTTTCCCTGCAAATTCTGGAGAGCTGCTGGGAGAAATCAGTTCCTGCCTGGGGGTGGCTGGGGCAGCCATTCCCTAGGGATGTGTCACAAACATTTCCATTTCCCCTGTGGCACTGCTGTGGGTGTCCCTGGACCTGCTGTCCCCTCTGCTTCCATTCATAATTCCCATTCCATTTCCCTTGTGGATCCCAGCAGCCTTTTCCATGGGATTTGTAAATTTGGAGGGATTTGCTGCCATTTGGAGTGGCCTGTGGAGCTTTTTTTGTGTCTCATTCAAGTTCCAGCTCCAGAGAACCTTAGCACAGGAATATCTTTCCTTCCCAATGACTGAGCAGGTGGATTTTGTCCTTGATCCTTGGGGTTAACCCTTTCCATTTGTGCCTTTAGTGAGCTCCTGTGTTCCATCCTGCCAGAGGAGCAGCTGGGTTGCCTTTCCCTGTGGATAAAAATCCACATTTCACTCTCCCTGCAGGGGCTCGGATCTGGCTCTTCATCGGCTTCATGTTGATGTTTGGCTCCCTCATTGCTTCCATGTGGATTCTCTTTGGAGCTTATGTTACACAGAGTAAGTCTGGCTGTTTGCTCCTCTAGGAAAGTGCTTTTCTTGCCAGCTTTGCCAGGAAATCCACAGGGATGGAAGCCTGTGGTCTCTGGAAAATCTGAGCCACAGCATCCAGATTTTAGTCTGAGATTGACACTGGAATATCCTGTTAAACCCAGCTCCCAGTAGCTGGAATATCCTGTTAAACCCAGCTCCCAGTAACTGGACTATCCTGTTAAACCCAGCTCCCAGTAGCTGGACTATCCTGTTAAACCTAGCTCCCAGTAGCTGGAATATCCTGTTAAACCCAGCTCCCAGTATAGCTGGAATATCCTGTTAAACCCAGCTCCCAGTAGCTGGAATATCCTGTTAAACCCAGCTCCCAGTTACTGGAATATCCTGTTAAACCCAGCTCCCAGTAGCTGGAATATCCTGTTAAACCCAGCTCCCAGTAGCTGGAATATCCTGTTAAACCCAGCTCCCAGTATAGCTGGAATATCCTGTTAAACCCAGCTCCCAGTATAGCTGGAATATCCTGTTAAACCCAGCTCCCAGTAGCTGGAATATCCTGTTAAACCCAGCTCCCAGTAGCTGGAATATCCTGTTAAACCCAGCTCCCAGTAGCTGGAATATCCTGTTAAACCCAGCTCCCAGTAGCTGGAATATCCTGTTAAACCCAGCTCCCAGTAGCTGGAATATCCTGTTAAACCCAGCTCCCAGTAGCTGGACTATCCTTTTAAACCCAGCTCCCAGTAACTGGAATATCCTGTTAAACCCAGCTCCCAGTAGCTGGACTATCCTTTTAAACCCAGCTCCCAGTAACTGGAATATCCTGTTAAACCCAGCTCCCAGTATAGCTGGAATATCCTGTTAAACCCAGCTCCCAGTATAGCTGGAATATCCTGTTAAACCCAGCTCCCAGTAGCTGGAATATCCTGTTAAACCCAGCTCCCAGTAGCTGGAATATCCTGTTAAACCCAGCTCCCAGTAGCTGGACTATCCTTTTAAACCCAGCTCCCAGTAACTGGAATATCCTGTTAAACCCAGCTCCCAGTAGCTGGACTATCCTTTTAAACCCAGCTCCCAGTAACTGGAATATCCTGTTAAACCCAGCTCCCAGTAGCTGGACTATCCTTTTAAACCCAGCTCCCAGTAACTGGAATATCCTGTTAAACCCAGCTCCCAGTGACTGGAATATCCTGTGTAACCCAGCTCCCAGTGACTGGAATATCCTGTTAAACCCAGCTCCCAGTTACTGGAATATCCTCTTAAACCCAGCTCCCAGTAGCTGGACTATCCTGTTAAATCCTCGTGCCAGGACTAAAGCACTGAGTGTTTCCTCTGTTCCTCCTCTGCAGACACTAATGTGTACCCTGGATTAGCAGTGTTTTTCCAGAATGCATTAATATTTTTCAGGTAAGTTACCTGGGGAAATGCCCCCCTTTCCAAAGGGACTTTCCTGCTTCCATACATTGATCCTGCTGGAAAAGCAGCTCTGTTTTCTACTCCCTTTGCTGCAGAGCTGAGAAGCAAGGTGTGATTTGCCCCTGGCCAGGCTCTTTGCTCCCTGCCACTGCTGTTGTTCCAGCTGTGTCTGCTCCCCTGGATGTGCAGCTCTGGAATGTGTGTGGCCAGGGATGCACAGAGTTTCCTGGATTGCCAGTGTCTTTGGAAAATGGCAATCACTCACCTCTGTCCTACAATCCCTTGGCTCCCCTCCCAGCAGAGCCAGCTGGGGATTCCATTCCCCTTTTCCAGGCTGTTTCACACCAATGGCTCAGGTCCCTGGTACTTGATATTCCCTGTATTTCCTTTCACTGGCTGAGCTCACAGTTATAAACAGTGAGAATCCCTTTTTGGTGTGTTTTGTAACAGCACACTGGATTTATTTCAAATAATATTATTAAATCTATCATGTAACAGTTGAAAATCAATTTGGAGTCTCTAATAACTCCTTGTAGCTGTGGAATGCATTTTGCAATCCACAGATTTTATTAAATGGCACTGAAAGTGTTAAACAGTGTCAGTTCCAAGATGAGTCACTGAAAGTCTCATCTCACCTCCTTTCTTCTTTCAATTCCTGGCTGATCCTTTTCCTTCCAGCCCCACGGTGACCTGGGTGGATGGGCTCTGGGAAATGAGGGATGTTCCTGCAGGAAACAGCAGCTCCTAAATCCCCTCTGGGATTGAGAAGGGAAGCTGCTGAAGGCAGATTTTGTGCCTGAAGTTTTTAGTCTTATTTAGAATCCTAGGTTTGGTTTGGAAGGGAGCTTAAATCCCATCCAGTCCCACCTGGGCAGGGACACCTTCCCCCATCCCAGGTGGCTCCAAACCTGTCCAGGCTGGCCTGGGACACTGCCAGGCATGGGGCAGCCACAACGTGGCAATTTGGAAATCAAACTGTAACATGGATCTGATTCTCTACCACAGGCTTAATGTTCTTTCTGATTTGTTCATGAAAATGGAATAGTTTAGGTTTTATCCCAGCACATCCTGTCAGGCTGAGTTGGTCCCAGGCAGCAGAGTGAGACTTGCTGCTCTGGACTCCTTGGATTTCATAAATCCCAGGCATTTCCTTCAGAAGGGCTGTGAAAATGGGTGTTCTTCTGTTTGGGCTTCAGCTGGCTCCCACAATTCCAGCCATGCACAGGAAACCAAATATAAACACCAAACCCAAATCCTGATCTGACTAAAAAGTTCAGAGCTGTTGATTTGCACAGGGTGAGATTTAAGGATACTGCTAAAATCACCCCGTGCGTGGTCTGATTTCTATTTCTTCTCTTTTTTCCCCCCTCAGCACCCTGATCTACAAGTTTGGGAGAACAGAAGAGCTGTGGGGCTGAGCTCCCTGCTGGCTTGGTCCACAGCTGCCTCGTGGTTCTTGTCTGTAGATAATTCACAGTCCTTTGTCCTTGGTTTGCTTCCCAACCTGGCGGAACTGAGGCAATTCCAGGCTCTGTCCGAAGCTCCTCCCGTGCCAGGACACACTTGGGAATGTGTGCATAGGACAGGATCTGTCATTTCAAAGGGAAGGGCAGCTGCCAGGCTTTCCTGCTCCAGCTCCAGGCTTTCTCCTGCAGATCCCTGCCCTCCCAGCAGCTTCCTCCTGCACAGCTCCACCCGTGTCCTTGAGCAGTTAGTGAGCAACCAGGACAGAGCCCATCCCAGAGCACGGGCCCTGCTGGGAAAAGAGCTGATTTTAAACATTTTATATTATTGTTCAGGTAAAAATAAAGTAGATTTTTTTTTCTTTTCTTCTTTTGGTAAAAGGTTATGGGTTTTTAAGCAAGTCCCTACACTCAGCAGGTTGTGCATGGCAAAGCAAAGTATTCCTGACTTGTGATGGCTCTGGCACAAAGGACATTTGCTGGCACCACAGTCCTTGGAATTAATTTCATGCTGCTCAGTGTAAGAGATACCAGTTGGTATTTAATGTATTTCCTGATATTAGAATAAAAAAAACTCCAACAAACTGATGCCAGTTGTACTTGATAAAGAGAATACATGAGTCAGAGCAATGTCTTGCTACTCATGCAAGTGTCACTGTCTCCAGGGGAAGTTGTTTGCTGACAAATGAGTTTTCCTGACCTGTTCCCTCTGTGCTAAAAAGGAACTGGGGTATGGATGGATTTATTGCTCACAGTCCAACCTTGTAATAATTTCAAATTTCAATAAATCCTAGGAGTGACTCACACCCAGTTTTAGGGCTGCTATTGCCCCAGCTAAAATGCATTTCTCTCTTACATTTGATGGCTGTTTCCATTAATGAATTCTTGAAATCCAGTTCCATCTCAGTGGAGTGAAACAGGAAGTGAGGCTGAGGCTGTTTGGTATCCCTGCAGTGTCCCTGTGCATCCATTTGCTGGGGTGAGTCCTTCTCACGAGTTCTCTGTGGTTTTTACAGCATTTGCCTCTCCCCTGGCTCCCAAAGCTCCCCCATATCCAAGCTGCTGCCTCAGTGGTGGCAGGAGCTGAGAGGAAATGCTGTGCTGGAGCCTGGGAATTGTTTTGTCTGCTGCTCTGGCTGGGAATTGCTGCTGGGGCCAGTTTGGAGCTGCCCTCGTGCCCTGGCTGGGCTAACCCCATCCCATGGGTGCTCAGTGCTTGGAATTCCAGAATAAAACTGAACCCAGGTGCTCCAAACAGTGAATTCTGTACAGCAGCTCACTTTGCACAGGGCCTGCACCACACAGCTTTGGTCCAGCCCTGTCAGGTGCCTTGCCCAGGAGCTTGGGAATGTTTGTTGGGTTCTTTGGGAAGGCAGGAAGGAGCATGGCCTGGAACTAATCCCTGGGACTCCTCCCAGTGCCAGGAGCTTGTGCCTGGGCTTGGAACTTGAACTGCAAGCCAGGCTGGGAGAGCTGGGGGTGCTCACCTGGAGAGGAGAAGGATCCAAATGCAAGGAGAGCTCAGAGCCCCTGGCAGGGCCTGAAGGGGCTCCAGGAGAGCTGCAGAGGGACTGGGGACAAGGGCTGCAGGGACAGGAGCCAGGGAATGGCTCCCACTGCTCTGGGCACTTTCACACCCCAAGGCCAAGGGGACAGGGAGGGCTCAGTGACAACAACCCTGGAGTAACTCCCAGTAAATGATTTTTAATGGTTTGTGTGAAAGTATTTACCACCACACTCCCTGCCCCCAGTCCAGTGCAGGGTTTATTCAGGAACACACACACACATTCCCTGGGGGTTTTAACCTTATTTCTGCCCTCTGGTGAGTTTGGTGGTTCTTTTTTGTGAGCTGTGCTTCCCCCTTTGCTCCCAGCCCAGCCTCAGTGTGGGTGGGTGGTTAAAGCAGACCTGCTGCTGAGCTGGCAATTCCTACCTGAGTCAGGCTTTCCTGGAGCTCCCTTGGCAGCAGCTTCTCCAATCCCAAGGGATTAGATCTGCTCTGCCAGGGAACACCTGATGAAGCTTCTGGCAGCTGCTGCCTTGGGCTGTTCCTGGAAAGGCTGGAACAGTGGCACCTCAGCTCTGCCAGGGCCCTCCAACCAGGCACCTTCAAAAAAAACCCCACATTTTTTAAACAATTCATATCAAACCCAGGGAAAAAAAATCAAATAACCCCATTTTTTCAGTACAGAAAGAGGTTCACTTGTTCTTTGTGCTTTATTGGACACTCCAAACCCCACAGGGGCTGATGTGGGGTTTAACTTGGGCTCTTGTGCTTTAAGGCACTAAAACCAAAACTCTCAGTCAGCTTCTCTTCTGCTGGTGCTCAGCAAGAGGTTTTAGTGTCTGACAGTGACTGAAAACGTTGGAAAAGCTCGGAGCAGAATTCCTCCCAGGTCCCTCGTGCTGTGCAGGGCCTGGCCTGGCTGCACAGCAGGATAATGCTCCCAGGAGGGTGGCAGGAGCAGATAAGAGCAGACCTCTCTGGGAGGGGCTCTTGGCACAGCTTCACCCCGAGGACAGCACCCACAAGTTCCTTTTTGGTTTGTCCTGCACTTAAAATGATCCAGGAAAGCAGGCTGGGAGTTATTGCCAGCAGAAACCAAATGGAATTCACATTGCAGCTCCCTGGAAAAGCCCAGCTTCCCCCACACCAGTAAAGTGCAGTTATTCCTCCAAGCTGGGCTGGGAATTCTCCCTTGCGTCCACCTGTCCTCAGGCAGCTGCTGCCTTGGGCTGTTCCTGGAAAGGCTGGAACAGTGGCACCTCAGCTCTGCCAGGGCCCTCCAACCAGGCACCTTCAAAAAAAACCCCACATTTTTTAAACAATTCATATCAAACCCAGGGAAAAAAAATCAAATAACCCCATTTTTTCAGTACAGAAAGAGGTTCACTTGTTCTTTGTGCTTTATTGGACACTCCAAACCCCACAGGGGCTGATGTGGGGTTTAACTTGGGCTCTTGTGCTTTAAGGCACTAAAACCAAAACTCTCAGTCAGCTTCTCTTCTGCTGGTGCTCAGCAAGAGGTTTTAGTGTCTGACAGTGACTGAAAACGTTGGAAAAGCTCGGAGCAGAATTCCTCCCAGGTCCCTCGTGCTGTGCAGGGCCTGGCCTGGCTGCACAGCAGGATAATGCTCCCAGGAGGGTGGCAGGAGCAGATAAGAGCAGACCTCTCTGGGAGGGGCTCTTGGCACAGCTTCACCCCGAGGACAGCACCCACAAGTTCCTTTTTGGTTTGTCCTGCACTTAAAATGATCCAGGAAAGCAGGCTGGGAGGGTTATTGCCAGCAGAAACCAAACCAGTGTAAATGGAATTCACATTGCAGCTCCCTGGAAAAGCCCAGCTTCCCCCACACCACTAAAGTGCAGTTATTCCTCCAAGCTGGGCTGGGAATTCTCCCTTGGGTCCACCTGTCCTCAGGCAGTTTAGTGTTCCTTTCCTTCCCCTTCCACCTTCCCTCTTCCCAGTGCTTTGGCAGAGTGAGGAGCTGGGGGAGCTGGGCAGAGGCCCCTGGAGCACCAGGGTCTGTGATCCAGGGATGGTCCTTGATCCCAGAATCCATGTTCAGGATGTTCCTGTGATCCCTGGGATGGTCCTGTGATCCCAGGGCCTGTGTTCAGGATGTTCCTGTGATCCCTGGGATGGTCCTGTGATCCAGGGTCTGTGTTCAGGATGTTCCTGTGATCCAGGATCCATGTTCAGGATGTTCCTGTGATCCAGGATCCATGTTCAGGATGTTCCTGTGATCCCTGGGTTGTTTCTGTGATCCAGGATCCATGTTCAGGATGTTCCTGTGATCCCTGGGTTGTTTCTGTGATCCAGGATCCATGTTCAGGATGTTCCTGTGATCCCAGGGATGTTCCTGTGATCCAGCAGCCACACCATGGGAGCAGCCTCTGGACAGTCTGGGGCAGGTGACACTCACTGGGGTGGCCCTTCAGCGGCTGCCCTGCCCCTGGAGGTGTTGGCTGAAGGATCCTCTCCCTCCTGGCCACTTCCTTCTCCAAGCACAAGAGCCTGGGGCTCCTCCTCAGCAGGACTGCACAGCTCCTCCCAGGCAGCTGGGCCAGGGTCCCTCAGGAACTGGAGAGAACCACAAAACACCAGGTTAGGTCCTGTTAGAAATCCCAGAGCCAACAAACTGCTCCAGCCCAGAACCCACAGCAGGAGCTGCTACCTGGATATCCCATCCTGGGCTTCCTTAAAACTAAACAAGGAAAATGTTTAAAAACCCCTTTATTTCTGTGGGGAAAAGAAATAAATTATCCCTTCAAGCGAGTTAAAGCAGCTGCAGCTCCTCGTTGGCTGTTTGGGGTTTTTTTTAAATAAATTTTGGCCAATCTTTTGGTCAGCTGAAATCCCTTTGAGTTAGGAACAAACCTTGCAGCTGGGAGGTGCCGAGCTGCAGGAATGCAGCAAGTGGGACCCCGGGGCTGCTCTGATCAGTGCAGCTTCTGGTGTCACCAGCAGTGTCCTCTGCTCCCCTTCCCTCCCACAGCAACCCCAGCTTTCCCAGGGCATGGAGCACACAAAGGCTGCCAATCAAAGCCAGCAGCTCCAGGGAAGTGGGATGAATTAAATCAGCTTTCAGTTCAGGCTCCACTTCCTCTGCAGCCGCCCCAAGGGCAGTGAGCCAGGGGACTGCTCTGCAGACCCCCGAGATCCCTGCAGCCACAGCAGAGCTCCCCTGGCCCTGCTGGCACTGCAGAGACAGCAGCTCCTCAAAGGCAGCAGAGCCCTGGGGCTGCCTGCAGAGCCCCCTCGTCCCTGGCTGCCAAGGGGGGCCCGGGCTGATCCCTTTAGAAATTCACATTTTGAACCCTCTGCCAGTTCCCTTCTTCCCCTCTGTCCTGCCCCATCCCAGGCTGATCCCTTTAGAAATTCACATTTTGAACCCTCTGCAGTTCCCTTCTTCCCCTCCCAGGCTGATCCCTTTTAGAAATTCACATTTCAAACCCCCTGCCAGTTCCCTTCTTCCCCTGTGTCCTGCCCCATGCCAGCCTGATCCCTTTTAGAAATCCACATTTCAAACCCTCTGCCAGTTCCCTTATTCTCCTCTGTCCTGCCCCATGCCAGCCTGATCCCCTTATTAATTCACATTTTGAACCCTCTGCCATTTCCCTTCTTTCCCCTCTGTTCTGCCCCATCCCAGCCTGGTCCCTTTTAGAAATCCACATTTTGAACCCTCTGCCAGTTCCCTCCTTTTCCTCTCAGTCCTGCCCCATCCCAGGCTGATCCCTTGATTAATTCACATTTTAAACACCCTGCCATTTCCCTTCTTTTCCTCTCAGTCCTGTCCCCTCCCAGGCTGATCCCTTCATTAATTCCCATTTCAAACCCTCTGCCATTTCTCCTCTTTCCCCTCTGCCCTGCTCCATGCCAGGCTGATCCCTTTTAGAAATCCACACTTCAAACCCTCTGCCAGTTCCCTCCTTTTCCTCTCAGTCCTGTCCCCTCCCAGGCTGATCCCTTTATTAATCCACATTTCAAACCCTCTGCCAGTTCCCTTCTTCTCCTCTGTGTCCTGCCCCATCCCAACCTGATCCCCTTATTAATCCACATTTTAAACCCTCTGCCAGTTTCTTTTCCTTCTTCTCCCAGTGTCCTGCCCCATCTCAGCCTGGTCCCTTTTAGTAATCCACATTTTAAATCCTCTGCCATTTCCCTTCTTTCCCTGTCCTGTCCCCTCCCAGGCTGATCCCTTCATTAATCCCCATTCCAAACCCTCTGCATTTCCCTTCTTTCCCTGTCCTGTCCCCTCCCAAGCTGATCCCTTTATTAATTCCCATTTCAAACCCTCTGCATTTCCCTTTTTCCCTTTTTCCTTCCCCTCCCAGGCTGATCCTTTTATTAATTCCCATTCCAAACCCTCTGCATTTCCCTTTTTTCCCTTTTTTCCTGCCCCCTCCCAAGCTGATCCATTGATTAATTCACATTTTAAACCCTCTGCATTTCCCTTTTTCCCTTTTTCCTTCCCCTCCCAGGCTGATCCTTTTATTAATTCCCATTCCAAACCCTCTGCTTTTCCCTTTTTTCCCTTTTTCCTGCCCCCTCCCAGGCTGATCCTTTTATTAATTCCCATTCCAAACCCTCTGCATTTCCCTTTTTCCAGCCCCAGCTGTGCAGGGGATGCCCTTTTGCTGCTCTTTATCTGGGAAATTTTGGGAATTCACCCTGCAGGGCCCAGCAGGAGCCTCAGTCCTTGCAGGCTGCACTGCCTGAATACCCTGCACCATTCTTTTTTTCATTATTATTCCAATACCCAGCAAAAATTTTCTATTATTAACAAAAATAATTGTATTGTTATTTTAAACAATTACAGTTCTTTTAAAAATTACTTTACAGTTCTTTTAAAAATTACTTTACAGTTATTTTAAAAATTACTTTGCAGTTCTTTTAAAAATTACTTTAAAACCCAGAGCAATTATTTTTTAAGTATTTTAATAACCTGTACAAGGACTTTCTATTTTATTACCCTCTACAAGGATCATTATTATTATTATTATTACTATTATTTTTATTTTTATTATTATACCCTGTACAAGGATTATCTTATTATTATTAATACCCTGTACAAGGATTTTTTTACTATATTAATACTCTGTACAAAGATTTTTTTTTTACTACTTTCATACCCTATACAAGGATTGTTAAGTTATTATTAATACCCTGTGCAATGACATTTTACCATTTTAACATACTTACAAGGATTTTTTACTGCTTTAATACCCTGCACAATTAAGTTTTTAATTATTATAATACCTTGTAAAAGGAGTTTTTAATTATTTTAATACCCTACACAATTTTTTTACTGTTTGAATACCCTGCACAAGGATTTTTTACTATTTTAATACCCTGTACAAGGATATTTTACTATTTTAATACCCTGTACAAGGATATTTTACTATTTTAATATCATTATGGGGATTTTTTAAAACTATTTTAATCATTGCACAAGGATTTTTTTCATTATTTTAATACCCTGCACAAGGATTTTTTACTATTTTAATATAATTACAGGGAATTTTTTTTTTACTATTTTAATCATTGTACAAGGATTTTTTTCTTTATATCAAAATCCTGCACAAAGATTTTTTTTTACTATTTTAATACAATTACAGGGAATATTTTTTTTTACTATTTTAGTCATTGTACAAGGAGTTTTTCATTATTTCAATACCCTGCACAAGGATTTTTCAGTATTTTAATACAATTACAGGGAATATTTGTTTTTTACTATTTCAATCATTGTACAAGGATTTTTTTCTTTATATCAAAATCCTGCACAAAGATTTTTTTTTACTATTTTAATATAATTACAGGGATTTTTTAAACTAGTTTAATCATTGTACAAGAATTTTTTTCAATATTATAACAGCCTGCACAAGGATTTTTTTAGTATTTTAATACAATTACAGGGAATATTTGTTTTTTACTATTTCAATCATTGTACAAGGATTTTTTTCAGTATTTTAATACCCTGCATAAGGATTTTTTAGTATTTTAATATAATTACATGGAATTTTTTAACTATTTTAATCATTGTACAAGAATTTTTTTCAATATTTTAACAGCCTGCACAAGGATTTTTCAGTATTTTAATATAATTACAGGGATTTTTTAAACTATTTTAATCATTGTACAAGAATTTTTTTCAATATTTTAACAGCCTGCACAAGGATTTTTTAGTACTTTAATATAATTACAGGGAATTTTTTAACTATTTTAGTCATTGTACAAGGATTTTTTTCATTATCTCAAAATCCTGCACAAGGATTTTTCAGTATTTTAATACAATTACAGGGAATATTTGTTTTTTACTATTTCAATCATTGTACAAGGATTTTTTTTCATTATATCAAAATCCTGCACAAAGACTTTTTTTTTTACTATTTTAATATAATTACAGGGATTTTTTAAACTATTTTAATCATTGTACAAGAATTTTTTTCAATATTTTAACAGCCTGCACAAGGATTTTTTAGTACTTTAATATAATTACAGGGAATTTTTTAACTATTTTAGTCATTGTACAAGGATTTTTTTCATTATTATAATACCCTGCACAAGGATTTTTTACTATTTTAATACAATTACAGGGAATATTATTTTTTTTACTATTTCAATCATTGTACAAGGACTCACCCCCAGGGGCTGCATGCAAATCAAACCTTTAAAAAATCAGAATTTTGTGCTGAATAAGAACTTTCAGATCAAAGCTCTGCTTGGGGGCTGCTTCTTGTGCAGGGAAAGGGGAAGAGCAGCCCTGAGAGCAGAAATTCCCCAGGGAGTTTTAACTCTGAGCCCTGCTGGAAACAAAAAGAGGAATTGCCCAGGAAAATCCCCCTGAGATCGTCCTGAGGTGCCAAAACAGCCACAAAAATAAAAATATTTCTGTTTGAAATAAATGTAAAATGAGCTGGGTTTGCTTTTGCAGAGCTGCTGCAGCTCTTGGGGCACAAAACCTGCCTGGCCCAGGGGCTGACAGAGAGAGACACAGGAATAAAAATAGTGATAAAGGAAATAAAAATAGTGACAAGGAAATAAAAATAGTGATAAAGGAATGGAAATAGTGCCAAAGGAATGGAAATAGTGCCAAAGGAATGGAAATAGTGCCAAAGGAATGGAAATAGTGCCAAAGGAATGGAAATAGTGCCAAAGGAATGGAAATAGTGCCAAAGGAATGGAAATAGTGCCAAAGGAATGGAAATAGTGCCAAAGGAATGGAAATAGTGACAAGGAATGGAAATAGTGACAAGGAAATAAAAATGGTGACAAGGAAATAAAAATAGTGATAAGGAAATAAAAATAGTGCCAAAGGAATGGAAATAGTGACAAAGAAATGAAAATAGTGATAAGGAAATAAAAATAGTGATAAGGAAATAAAAATAGTGCCAAAGGAATGAAAATAGTGCCAAAGGAGTGGAAATAGTGACAAAAGGAATGGAAATAGTGATAAAGGAATGGAAATGGTGCCAAAGGAATGGAAATAGTGATAAAGGAATGGAAATGGTGCCAAAGGAATGGAAATAGTGATAAAGGAATGGAAATGGTGCCAAAGGAATGGAAATAGTGATAAAGGAATGGAAATGGTGACAAAGGAATGGAAATAGTGACAAAGAAATAAAAATAGTGGCAAAAAAAGTGAAAAAGAAATAAAAATAGTGACAAAGAAATAAAAATAGTGACAAGGAAATAAAAATAGTGCCAAAGGAATGGAAATAGTGCCAAAGGGATGGAAATAGTGACAAAGAAATAAATAAAAATAGTGACAAGGAAATAAAAATAGTGATAAGGAAATAAAAATAGTGCCAAAGGAATGAAAATAGTGCCAAAGGAGTGGAAATAGTGACAAAGGAATGGAAATAGTGACAAGGAATGAAAATAGTGCAAAGGAATGCAAATAGTGACAAAGAAATAAAAATAGTGGCAAAAAAAGTGAAAAAGAAATAAAAATAGTGACAAAGAAATAAAAATAGTGACAAGGAAATAAAAATAGTGACAAGGAAATAAAAATAGTGCCAAAGGAATGGAAATAGTGACAAGGAAATAAAAATAGTGATAAGGAAATAAAAATAGTGATAAGGAAATAAAAATAGTGATAAGGAAAAAAAAATAGTGCCAAAGGAATGAAAATAGTGCCAAAGGGATGGAAATAGTGCCAAAGGGATGGAAATAGTGACAAAGGGATGGAAATAGTGACAAAGAAATAACAAGAGTGGCAAAAAGGTGCCAAAGAAATAAAATAGTGCCAAAGAAATAACAAGAGTGACAAAAAAGTGACAAAGAAATAAAAATAGTGATAACAAATAATGGCAGAAATAAAAATAGTGACCAAAAAGTAGTGACAAAGAAATGAAAATAGTGCCAAAGAAATAAAAAGCGACCAAAAAATAGTGACAGAAAAATAAAAATAGTGACAAAAAAATAGTGACCAAGATATAAAAATAATGACAAAAAAAGAGTGACAAAGAAATAAAAATAGTGACAAGGAAATAAAAATAGTGACCAAAGAAATAGTGGTAAAGAAATAAAAAGTGACTAAAAGAGTGACAAAGAAACAAAAATAGTGGCAAAAAAGAGTGACAAAGAAATAAAAATAATGATGAAGAAATAAAAATAGTGCCAAAAAATAGTGCCAAAGAAATAAAAAGTGACCAAAAAAGAGTGGCAAAGAAATAAAAATAGTGCCAAAGAAATAAAAAGAGTGCCAAAAAGCAGTGCCAAAGAGATAACAAGAGTGCCCAAGCAGTGCCCAGGAGGAGCAGCAGGACAGCAGGACAGCAGGGGGACAGCAGGACAGCAGGGACAGCAGGACAGCAGGACACAGGGACAGCAGGACAGCAGGGGGACAGCAGGCACAGGGACAGGTCTGAGCCGTCCCTGGTTCCTCTGTTCCTGCCCGGCATTCCTGCTCTGGGGGTGCCCCCCGGTTTCTGTCCCGCAGGAGCAGCCCAACCCCCCCGTACCTCCCTGAAGTGCGCTGGGATCTGCAGCGGGGGCTGGGCCCAGTGCTTGATGCTTTGGTGCTTTTTCCACAGGCACAGCAGAGCAGCCACCAGCAGGTTCACAGCCACCAGGGCCAGGACAAAGAGGGGGATGATGTACCCAGCTCGGGTGGCCTCTGCAAGAGAGGGAGAAAATCCAAATGCATCTGGCAGGTTCACAGCTACGGAATCATGGAATGGTTTGGGCTGGAGGGACCCCAAATCCCACCAGGGACACCTTCCCTGTGCCAGGCTGCTCAAGCCCCAGTGTTCAGCCTGGCCTTGGGCACTGCCAGGGATCCAGGGGCAGCCCCAGCTGCTCTGGGAATTCCATCCCAGCCCCTGCCCACCCTGCCAGGGAACAATTCCTCATTGCCCAGATCCCATCCAGCCCTGCCCTCTGGCACTGGCAGCCATTCCCTGGCTCCTGTCCCTGCAGGCCTTGTCCCCAGTCCCTCTGCAGCTCTCCTGGAGCCCCTTCAGGCCCTGCCAGGGGCTCTGAGCTCTCCCTGGAGCTTCTCCTCTCCAGGGGAGCACCCCCAGCTCTGCCAGCCTGGCATCAACTCCTTTATCCCATTCCACAGCAGCATTAGGAAGGGAGAGGAGAAGGCACCACGCAGACCCCGAATCCCTGAACTCCTGATTCTTCTGTCACTAAGCCAGCTGTGAATTCCCGTGGTGCTCTCAGCACTCCTGGCTGGGGCAGGGACACCCCAGGTGATGCAGGGCTGGTGTTCCACCCCATCCCACTCCTCAGAGCCACACTCCCAGTCCATACCACTGAGGGCAGTTCTGTGACACTCTGGGGCACTTTGCTGCCCTTCCAACAGGTGACCTGAGTAGATCTTCAACCTCACCCGAACGCTGAAGCAATAAAGTGTTGACTCCTTCAGATTTCCAATTTGGAATAGTGTCTTGCTTTCACTTAGCTTCTGTTGGAAAGACACACACAACAAAAAAAGGTGTTGCTGTAAAAACCAGACCAGTTTTCAACACAAATACCCCTCCCCCGTTTAAGCTTCTCATTCAAGAAGCCCAAATTTTATTTTTCCCCACTCAGTTTTCCCAAACAAGAGAAGCAGTGGAATATTTCAGTTTTTCTGGGAGTTTTGATGCAGCTTCTGCAGCAGCTCCTGCAGGAGCAAAACACAGAGCAATGGAGGGGAGAAGGAAACCACTCTGACCCCTTTCCTGGCTCTCAGCTGAAGGTGTTCTGTGTGTGAGAAAAACACACAGTGCTGCAAGGCAGGAAGGAAGTGGAGATGATTTACCAAGGACTTTGAGGCAGAAGGAAGCTGTAAATAATTTTTTTTTTTACTTCTGTTTTTCAGATGTTTGACTTCAGATTGATGTCATTTGGAAGCTTCCTCTTTTTTAATTTTTTTTTTTTTCTTTAAGCCTGACTTAACACCTCCCCTGCACCTCTGGCCTGTCCGAACACAATTCCCAGGCAGCAGCAGGGGCACAGGATGATGCCAAAGCTCTGAGCCTCAGGATGAACAGGGATGATCCCAGCTCATCCCAGCCTGCTGCTCCATCTCCTCCTCTCCCTGGGCACACCAGGCCCCCCCAGCTGCTCCTGCAGCTCCCAGCACAGCAAAGGAGAAGGGACTTCCCAGAGCCCCCCAAAGTGCCTGGGAAAGCTGTGGAGTGCAGAGCCACCTTTGGCAGCAGTCCTGCCCAAGGATGTGCAGAGAGGTTTCATTCCAAACAGAGGAAGGAAGTTCCCAAGTTTGGAAGTGCAGCAATCCTTGTGCCGAGGCCAGAGCCCTTCTCCCCCCGTGGTGAGCCTTGCTGGACACAAAATAAACTGATTTTCTGCCCCCACTGCTGTCCTGCCAAGGGACACTGACTCCCAGCCCTCAGCCCCCAGGCACCAAGGACAAATGTGACAGAATTCTTACTTTTTCTATGCCACTGGTGCTGTTCTCCCAGTAGGACACGAGGTACTGGAGGAGGTCCCCAGGCTCAGGGGAGAACGGGGGGCTGACACTGACGAGCAGAGAGCCAGGGCTGGCACTGACATTGTTCACCCTGGGGGGGCCCAGAGTGGCTGAAAACAAACACAGAGAGCAGGGAAACCCTGGGCTGCACAGCTGCCTCCAGCCCCACACACCCCAAAATCCCCGGGGCTGGCAGAGCCCTCCCAGCCCAGGCAGTGCCAGCTGTGCCCCATGGCCACCTTGTCCCCAGCCCAGAGCACTCAGTGCCACCCCCAGGGGACACCTGCAGGGATGGGCACTGCAAAGCTCCCTGGGCAGCCCCTGCCAAGGCCTGAGCACCCTTTCCATGGGCAAATTTCTACTGCTGGCCCAGCTGAGCCTGCCCTGGCCCAGCCTGAGGCCGTTCCCTCTGCTCCTGTCCCTGTTCCCTGGAGCAGAGCCCGACCCCCCCGGCTGTCCCCTCCTGGCAGGGACTTGTGCAGAGCCACAAGGGCCCCTGAGCCTCCTTTGCTCCAGGCTCAGCCCCTTCCCAGCTCCTCAGGAATGCTCCAGCCCCTTCCCAGCTCCCTCAGCAATTCTCCAGCCCCTTCCCAGCTCCTCAGGAAATCTCCAGCCCCTTCCCAGCTCCGTTCCCTGCCCTGGACACTCTCAATAAACACCCCAAATATCAACAGCTTTCACTGAGGAAAGGGCAAGCATCTCCTCAATACTTTATGCATTTACGGTATTTCTGTAACTTTTCCTGGAAATTCAGTAAATATTAACCAACAGTTGATGCTCTGAAGTGTCTCAGTTTATCTGCAGTGACAGGCCATAAAATCTTTATCTTTTCCTTTGCTCAGCCTGCCACACCTTCCACGCTCCCCAAAACCCCACTGCTGGGCCCTAGATGGGAAGAGCAATAATGAGTTTTCCTCTCCTTGCTTTCATGTCTCCATGTGTCCATTAGGATAAGCATGGTGACCTCCAGTGCTCCAGGGTGTAAGTCATGAAAATACCAATAGAAGCTCTCATTAACAGCAAAAATCACTCCAGCTCCTCACTGTGCCTCAAATCCAGGGACTCTGATCAAGGCACTGAAGGAGAAGCCATGGATTTGGTTTTTGGGAGCTGATCTCCAGGGCAGTAGTGTAAACTGTAGTGTAAACAATTCATATTTCTCTGAACAATTTGTATTTATCTGAACCATTTATATTTATCTGAACCATTTATACTTATCAGGACAGATTACATTTATCACAACAATTTATATTTATCAGGGCACTTTAGAAAATGTATATTTATCAGGACACTTTTTGTTTATCAGAAAAGGGATCTGTCCCAGCAGGAAGAGGTGATTTGGCCTCAGGCTGCCACAAACCCCAGTTTGTGGTGTGTGTGTGGGCAGAGCTAAGTAGGGGAATGAGAACATGGAAAATCCTCCCAAAAAGAACCCTGTGGCTCTCTGAAGGCTCAAGCACCCCAGGGGGCTCAGGGGTTTCTCTGGTGACACCCCAGCAGAGCAGAACCAAACCCTGGGGAGGCCTCAGAGCCCTTGTGGACAGTAACAGCTCAATCCTCTTGATACCTTGGGTTTGAAGTTTCTCTGTTTTGTTTTGGTGTGCAACTTTTAGCTTTATATTAAGTTATATTAAATTATATTAAGCTTTGTATTATCCTTTTTACTAGGATCTTTTCACAGGGTGGTGAAGACAAAACTATCCCGTTCTAGCTGGAGACTCAAAGACAATCTCTTCCAACTTCAGGCCCAAAGCACAAACAATGTGAAAAGAGGAGGGCGGGCAAGCAAGCAAGGAGGATGAAACTTCATCATTTGAAGCTATTAATTGTACTGTCGGCTCCTGTATGCAAATGGACTAAAACTTATAAAAGTGGGAGATTGTGTGACCAAGGCCTCTTTTGATTCCATGTCTGCCATCCTGGCAGAGCCACACCTGTGGCTGGGGCTGCCCCTGGATCCCTGGCAGTGCCCAAGGCCAGGCTGGACACTGGGGCTGGAGCAGCCTGGCACAGGGGAAGGTGTCCCTGCCCTGGCAGGGTGGCACTGGGTGGCATTTGGGGTCCCTCCAGCCCAGTCTGAGATCCCATGACCGCACACAGTTTATTTTACATTTAGAACTGAGTCATCCCCCCCCGCCAGCCCCAAACACCCCCAAAAGGCCCTTCAATAAACATCCCCTTCGTTCCTCCCAGCTCCCTGGGGCACCCCAATCCGGGCAGAGCCCAGTGAGGCAGCAGAGCAGTGCACCAGGGAGGTGCCAGCACTCACTGTTGGTCTGTGCCACGAAGGCAGCGCTGCGTGCCCAGGCCGAGGCCCGCGCGCCCAGCTCGGCGCGCACGCGCAGCTCCACGGTCCAGCGCCGCCGCCGCCGCAGCTCGGGGGGGAAGCTGCACCACGTCTGGGGGCTCTGGGCACAGCCCATGTCGCTCCAGTTGTGGTAGGACCTCCTGCAGAGCACAGCGAAAAGCAGTCCCTTAGGCTGCAGGGCAAGATGTGAGCACAGGCGCGTGTTCTGTCGGCAGTGCGGGATCTGCCTCCGGCTGTGAGCCACAGAGAAGTTGGGTAACAGGGTCCGTGTTTACTCATGAAAGAACTTTGTCTCTCATGACCAGTGAGTAAAGTATAAACTTCTGAGTTTTATGAAAATGTATAAAAGGATGCATGCTAGAATAAAAACAGCTTGAAGCCTTCTGAAAATGGAGTGTGTGGCTTTGTATTGTCTCCATCTCAACTACGACACATCTGTTGAAACCAGGTGGGGCAGTGTTCCTTATCTCACCCATGATTATTATCAATGGCAGGCAAAGATTTTAAAGTGATTTACCTGCCCTTGAAAAAGGGATATTTTGATTTGGCATGGCAAAAATCAGAGGATTTGCAAATTGCATTACTGAACTTCTCAGGTGTTTGCTCTTTATTCACTTTCCAGGCTGTTGCAAGCAAAACTGAGATTCAGAGGAAAACCCACATTAAGTGCAGTGCCTTTAAAGGTAACAGTATTTACTGATGGCTCTGGGAAAACACACAAATCAGCAATAACATGGCATGACCAAACAACTAAAACATGGGAATCAGGCATTCAAACAGTCAAAGGTTCTCCTCAACTTGTTGAATTGGCAGGAGAAGTTAACATTTTCACTGCTTTGCAGGTAAAACCATTTCCCCTCCTTCTCCTTCTGTTTCCAGGGGCTCTGCCACGTTCAGGTGGGCAGGCCCTGGCAAAAATCCCACTGGGTGGGATTTAAGGTCCCTTCCAACCCAAACCAATGTGGAATTCTGTGTATCCATGAATTCCAACTCCCTGGTTTTTATTCACTCCATAAAGAACATAAAGCTGAAAGTACCAAGCCCAGCACAAAATCACAAACCTCACCCAGTCCCCCATGAAGCCATAAATGAAGGTCCCAGAATCACCAGGGCTGGAGAAGCCCTCCAGGATCACCCAGTGCCACCAGCATCACCCCAAAGCCTGTCCCCAGGGCCACATCCAGACTCCTCTGGGACAATCCCAGTGACTCCAAACCTCCCTGGGCAGCTCCTGCCAAGGCCTGACCACTCTGTGAGGGAAAAATTATTTCTAATTTCTGATCTGAGCCTCCCCTGGTGCCATTTGAGGCCATTTCCTCTCCTCCTTTCCCTGCCCCTCCTGGCAGGAGCTGTGCAGAGCAGTGAGGTCCCTCCTGAGCCTCCTTTTCTCCAGGCTGAGCCCCTTTCTTCTTTTCACAGCACATTCTTTTTTTCTGGAAGGTTTTCCAGCCCTTCCAAGGTTTTCCAGCCCTTCCAGCAGCTGATCTGTTCCACCACCTGCAGCTCACGTTTGCCACCCTGCACATCCCAGGTGGGCACCCCGTGCCAGCCCTGCCCACCCTGCCAGGGAACAATTCCTCATTGCCCAGATCCCATCCAGCCCTGCCCTCTGGCACTGGCAGCCATTCTCTGGCTCCTGTCCCTCCATCCTTGTCCCCAGTCCCTCTGCAGCTCTCCTGGAGCCCCTTCAGGCCCTGCCAGGGGCTCTGAGCTCTCCCTGGAGCTTCTCCTCTCTTTTTCCCCCCATCTGCCTCCTGCTGACCCTGAGGTCACTCCAGTGAAACCTTCCAGGAGCCAACTGGAAAAAAAAAAAAACGCCTTCAGGAAGACGTGGTGGCCCTGAGGAGCCTCTGGTTCTGCCAGCTCTGGAGGTGATTTCACAGGCAGGAAATGGCAGGAGCTCCGTGGGTGGGGAGAGCCCCAAACCCAGGGGTTTGCAGCCACCATCGGCCTCCAGCCAGGAGGGGAAAACCACAGGGAAGAGCTGGGTCTGAAGGACAGGAAAAGGACAGACTGACAGCCGGGGACGGGGAGGAGGAAGCTGCCAAAAACACGGCCAAAAAGGGACAGAGGCAGGCAGGGCCTGGAGGGCAGCAAAGAGGAGGTAAACAGGGGCGGGGGAGAGGAGGAAGGGCTGAGGAGAAGGGAGCAGTGGAGCCAGGCAGGAAGAGCAGGACCAAAACCTCTGCAGGACATGGCCGAGGCTCCAGGGTCAGCTCCAGCAGCCCTGGCTGCTCAGGGATCTCCCCTGGAGCCTGCAGGGACAAAGGTTTTCCTTCTGCACCCGATGTGCCTCTCTGGAGTGACCCCTCACACCATGGGAGTCACAGAACGAGGGAATGGTGGGGCTGGAAAGGACTTTGGAGATCACCCAGTGCCACCCCTGCCACGGGCAGGGACAGCTCCCACCACCCAGCCTGGCCTGACAAAGAGCCGGGACAAAATCCAGCAAACTCTGGAAGTTGTAGGAATAAACCTCCACGTTTTTGGGGGCTGGTGAATAAATAAAAACCCACATCACAGCAGGTAATTCTGAAGAACAGAGTCTCCTAAGACACAGGCAGTTAATTTTTACATCAACAAGATCAGAAGACCAAGCACTTGAGTCCAAGTCTGGCCCAGGCTTCCTTGGAAATGTGGATTCACGTTAAAAACTTTGTGGTTTTTTCATTTCTACATCAAGTAGCATTAAACCCTAAGTCCGAAATACCAAATAATGAGTCGAGCTCTAGGTTTCCAAGAAAAGCTGTGGCTGCCCCATTCCTGGAAGTGTCCAAGGCCAGGTTGGAGCAACCTGAGACAGTGGAAGGTGTCCCTGGCCATGGCAGGGGGTGGAACAGTCCCTCCCACGCCAAGCCAGGCTGTGTTCCTCTCAAAGCTTTAATCAGACTTGTCACTAATTTCTCACAGGCCTGCCAATAATTTCTCAGCCCCATCTCTCAGGCAGTGCTCTCAGAACACACACACACCCTGCCTCAGGCCACACGTGGCTGGTCCAGCTTTGCAAACCTTCGGGAGGTTCCTCAGAGCTTCCCAAACCTCCCAGGTGCTTGGAAGGCCCCCAAGGAGCCGCCTCTAAACTGGTGAGAAATTTTCACTTTCCAGTCCCACGGATCCTTTCTTGCACTCTCGCTGCTGGTCTGGCACGTGGTGAGGTATCTCACACCATCTGTGACACCCTCAGCCCTGTGTCACCTGTGTCACACACCCTTCCACTGAATCCCAGGAAGCTCTGAGAACCAAACACCACAGGCACCAACTCACACCCCGCCTTAAAAGCAAATCACGAGCGATGAAGGACAGGGGGAGATGGGGATGAGGAATTGTTCCCTGGCAGGGTGGGCAGGCCCTGGCACAGCTGGGGCTGCCCCTGGATCCCTGGCAGTGCCCAAGGCCAGGCTGGACACTGGGGTTTGGAGCAGCCTGGCACACTGGGAGGTGTCCCTGCCATGGCAGGGTGGGATTGAAGGTCCCTCCAGCCCAGTCTGGGATCCCACGGCTGCACACTGTTTATTTTGCATTCAAAAATGAGTCATTTCCCCTGCCAGCCCCAAAAAACACTGCAGAGCTCACCAAAAACACTGCAGAGATTATCAAAGACACTGCAGAGCTCACCGAGAACACCCCAGGGCTCATCTGCCCTCTGAGGGCTGCCACGAGGCTGAGGAGCTGCTTCCTCAGCACCAAGGGGAAATCTGAATTTCTGTCAGATCCCTCCCTCACAGGGCAGGGACTGCGAGTGCTGAAATCACACACTCAACTTCCTACTCCCCCCCAGTTTGTATGGCCTAAAATAACAATAGGAACACTTCAAACACTGCACCCACGGGTCCAGGAACCCTCAAAACCCCAAACTCCCTCAAGCCAGGGGAAGACAGAGAGCTCCCATCCTTCCTGGCAGGGGTTTGCACTGGGCTGCTTTTTCCAGAGCAGCAGCCTAAGGAGGCTCGGATTGTTTTTTCCTGCTGTGCAGAGAATTCAAGGTATTTCAAACCAAGAGTCAGAACTTTCACACAGCAGAGTGTGAAGCCACAATCACAGCCAGTGAAAGCAGCTTGGCTCGGGGGACCCACCCGTGTCCCAGCTCCTGCTGCTCCTCAGGGATTCCCGATCCCTTCCCCTGCATCAGCCCCCAGAAATCACTCTGGCAAAGCAGGAATTTGGGATTTGGGGGGATTTTTTTGTGGACTTTTGCTGTTCCAGTGCACCAAAGTGGCTTCTCAGGGGTAGTGTAAGATTCCTGTCCACGGCAGGGGGTGGAACGAGACCAGCTGCAAGGTTCTTCCCAATCCAACCTATTTTGGGATTCTGCGATTCCCAGAGCTCCCTGGGAGCATCCCTTGGCTGCTGATGGGATGAAGCTGAACAACGCTGACTGCAGGAGCTCTGCCCTGGCTTGCCTCAGTCCAGCCAGTGAGTCTGGAGCCACCAGAGATCCACAGGACTCACCAGGGTCAGGCTGCTCAGCCAGGCCGTGGCCACCACCAGGACATGGGACATGCTGAACTCATGGGGAGCCTGAGTGCCAGAGCGAGCACCACATTCCCTGCACAGATTGTTCCATCGTGGAGTGGTTTTGGTTGGGAGGAACCTTAAACCTTATCTCATCCCACCCCTGCCATGGCAGGGACACCTTCCCCTGTGCCAGGCTGCTCCAGCCCCAGTGTCCAGCCTGGCCTTGGGCACTGCCAGGGATCCAGGGGCAGCCCCAGCTGCTCTGGGAATTCCATCCCAGCCCCTGCCCACCCTGCCAGGGAACAATTCCTCATTGCCCAGATCCCATCCAGCCCTGCCCTCTGGCACTGGCAGCCATTCCCTGGGTGCTGTCCCTCGATCCCTTGTCCCCAGTCCCTCTGCAGCTCTCCTGGAGCCCCTTCAGGCCCTGCCAGGGGCTCTGAGCTCTCCCTGGAGCTTCTCCTCTCCAGGTGAGCCCCCCCAGCTCTCCCAGCCTGGCTCCAGAGGGGCTCCAGCCCTGGGACACACCTGGAGCCGGGACTGCAGAGCTCGAGCCCGCAGAGCCATTTCCACCAAACCCGAACCCAAATCGCCTCCATCCCCACTTTTAAACGGCCTTTAATGGGAGGCGCCACCTCCCAAACCTCCGCCACGCCACGAGCGCCGGTCGGTGCCCACAGCCCCACAGCGTGCCCTGCAGCCCGGCCCGGCTCCGCCACAGCGGGGTGTGGGAGCGGCACCCCGGCCGGGCCGGGCCGATCCCGGGCTGGGCCGGACCGATCCCGGGCTGGGCCGGACCGATACCGGGCTGGGCTGGACCGATCCCGGGCTGGGCAGGACCGATCCCGGACCGACCCCGGGCTGGGCCGGACCGATCCCGGACCGATCCCGGGCTGGGCCGGACCGATCCCGGGCTGGGCAGGACCGATCCCGGGCTGGGCAGGGCCGATCCCGGGCACGGGCTGAGCCCGGCCCGGCCCCAGCGGCTGCGGCCGCTCCGGGCCCGGAGTGCCGCGGGGGGAAGGCACAGGGGACACCGGCACAGGCCCCGTGAGGCGACCAAGACCGCGCCGCGGCCACCCAGAGCCGCGGGCTCCGAACCCCGCGGGTACCGAGCCCCGCAAACACCGAGCCCCGTACCCACCTGCGGCGGCGGCCCGCGCCGAGCCCAGCAGCAGCAGCGGGAGCCAGAGGAGCAGCAGGAGCGGAGCCCGGCCCCGCATGGCCCCGCTCGGCCGCGGGTGCCCCCACCTACAGCCCAAACTAGCCCAAACCTGCAGCCCTGGTGACACTGCACACCTACAGTCCAAACTAGCCAAACCTGCAGCCCTGGTGACACTGCACACCTGCAGCCCTGGTGACAGTGACCCACAGCTCCAGCTGATGCCAGCAAGAGCAGATTGTGACTGAAAACACTGCTTTGGCTAAGAGCAGCTGAAGCACAGGGGTATTTCTTGAGTCTCCTCAACACAGCTGAAATGCGCTCTCAAACACCTCAGAAGGTTTATTTTGTCCAGAAAAAGGTACCCTGACGCCCGTATCTCCTTGTTTTTATTGTCTCATATTGTCCTAACCTCAATTGTTCAAACTTCATTATTCTGATTATATTACTACTATCAAACTTTTAAAATTTCAAAGCAAGTGATTGGCATTTTTCACAAACCCGAAATTGCAGAAACTCATCTTGTGACTTATGCAGCGGGGTTCCCCTCCTCCCTTCTGCCACAGGACATGTTGGAGTGCACAAATCCCAGAATTTGTCATGTCTGTCTGCCCTTTGCCAAGGCAGAGGGGGAACTTGGGCAGGTTTTGGTTTTGCTTTCAGCCCAGGCAGAGCTTTCAGCCCAGCTCTGTTTTATCTGGAGCCTCCTGGTAAATCACAGCCCAAGAAATGAGTCTTCTCTGGGAGGAGGGAGGTGGAAGTGAGAAAAGGTTAATGGAAGGTGTGGTTTCCACCACTGGAGGATGAGGGGTGATTTATTAAAACTGGGAGCTTAAGGAGAATGAGGAGAAGAAGAATAAAGTGTTTTAATGAAGACAGAGGGAAGAGAGAGCTGGGTTTAATGCAACATCCAGTAAAAAAAAAATAATAATATCAATAATCCAGGAAATCTGCAAAACCTACAGGAGTCCAGGGATAATTCTGTGTATTTGCTTTCTTGTCTTTGAGCCTAGGGAGAGGGAAGCAAAGTCAATGCCAAATCAGACAGTGAGGGAAAAATGATCCTGTGATTTTCCTGCAGCCAAATTTCTGGCACAGAATCTGGGGGAAAAAAAAATTAATTTGAATCTACAAAATGATAAGGAAGGTACCCAAAAATCACACACAGAGAGGGGAAATGAATCCACTGGCAGACCCAGGGCAGTTCCACATCAGGCAGTGATCAGGATGTGAACAATTTTAGGACCACAGTGGTCTGGGAGAGAAATCAGCCCCTGCCTTGTGTTCCTCAATTGTCCCTGTGTTCGTGCACAGAACCACAGGTAACTCAGTCAGGAAACTGAAACAAGAAAGGGAAGCAGGAAGGATCCCCTGTCCTATTCAAATTACACTTCAGAAAGCCTTAAACAAATTCCAGACCTACTATAGCAAAAGCTCTTCAAACTCTGACCTCATTCTTTGCCACTCCTGGTGTTTGCTGCTTGGATTTTTAACCTTCTTCCTGGAAGAAAAACAGAATTGAGTGGTTTGATAGTGGCCTGACATGAAAAAGAAAAAAAAAAATCTTCCAGAAAACCCACACTGGCCTGGTCAGCCACAAACCCTCGCACTGCAAACTCTGCTGAGGGGGCTCTGCTGATGTTTGGGGGTGATCTGGACCCTCGTGTGCCAGCTGGGGACTCTGGGAGGTGGATGGGAAATTATCTAGATGTGTAAAGAGGCATCTCCAATTCGATTTTGGTCCCAGTTTCGAGTCCTACCCTGCCCCCTGGCACTGGGAGCCATTCCCTGGGTGCTGTCCCTCCAGGCCTTGGCCCCAGTCCCTCTCCTGGAGTCCCTTCAGGTGTCCCACCTGCAGAGGGTTAAAGGAAATTGCATCACCCTGGGAAGAGATTTGAGTTTTAATGGATGATTTTTAAGGTCCTTTCCAGCCAAACCCAGCCTGGGGTTCTGTGATTTCACCAGGCTCAGGTGGCACAGTTTGTGTCTGTAAAAGGGAGAGGTCACAAAGAGATCAGGAAGAAAAAAAGCAACTCCTCCCTGCCTGGGTTGTGTGGAATGTTCTGTGCTCTGACCTAGAGCAGGATTTTGGGTTTGCTGCTGAGTTCAGAGCTGGGCCAGGCTTTCCCAGAGCCTTTGGGCCCACTGTGGGTGTGCATTTCACCATGTTGTAAGGTGAAAAGTAAAAAAATAAATGGTGGTAAAGCAAAAAAAAAAAAAAAGGGGTTAAAGTAAAAAGAAAAAAAAAGGGTTTGGTGATTCACTTACAGTAAATCAGTGATGAAATCAAGCCTCTGGGAGACAGAGGAAGTGCAGTGCCTGATCAGAGCAGTTTCCATGAGCACAGTAAACAGAGCTCTCTGCTCATGTGAGACATAAACACCCCATTCTGCCAGGAATGGGCTTGTCTGCCTGCTCAGCCTTCTGAGAAAAGGCTTCTCTTGGGCTATGAAACTCATCCTGAATTTTGGGTGGCTGGGCATGACCCTGAGGGTGGGAAATCGCTGTAGGAACAAAAAGATCACAGTGGCCAAGGAAAGTCAGTTCCTCAAAGGGTGACATTTAGGGGGAATCAGAGAACCCCAGACAGGTTTGGGTTGGGAGGGACCCCAAATCCCACCCAGTGCCACCCTGCCATGGCAGGGACACCTTCCCCTGTGCCAGGCTGCTCCAGCCCCAGTGTCCAGCCTGGCCTTGGGCACTGCCAGGGATCCAGGGGCAGCCCCAGCTGCTCTGGGAATTCCATCCCAGCCCCTGCCCACCCTGCCAGGGAACAATTCCTCATTGCCCAGATCCCATCCAGCCCTGCCCTCTGGCACTGGCAGCCATTCCCTGGGTGCTGTCCCTCCATCCCTTGTCCCCAGTCCCTCTGCAGCTCTCCTGGAGCCCCTTCAGGCCCTGCCAGGGGCTCTGAGCTCTCCCTGGAGCTTCTCCTCTCCAGGTGAGCCCCCCCAGCTCTCCCAGCCTGGCTCCAGAACTCCAGGCCCTGCAGCAGCTCCGTGTTCCCCTCTGGATGAGGATCCCTCGTGGATCAGTTTTTTCAAGGTGATGTGCAGGAAATAAAAACATGAATTTAAGGAGCACACCCTAAGGAACCTTGGTGACAGAAAACTCACAGTCCCAACCCTGTCCCCAAGGGCACATCCAGACACCTCTGGGACACCCCAGAATCTCCACCAGACCCCGGGAAACTCATTCCATTGCCTCACCACTCTGGCAGGGAAAAATTCTTTCCAGTCTCTGATCTGAACCTTCCCTGTCAGAAAGTCAGGGCTGGGGGAAAGGTGGGCACAGCAGGGAGGAAAGGAGCTTCCCAAGGGCCTTGTGAAAACCCCAGCACCCAAAAAAGGGCATTTTGCTGGGAAAGGGTGACAAGGAATTCACTGTGACTCAGGGAAGGAACTCAGCAGAAGTGGGAGGAGGTGAACACTCCTGATTTCATAAACAAGTCCAGACATATTGAGGGAGGCAGGCAGGGGAAGAAGAGCTTTTCCAGGTGAAAGAAAATATTTTCTAGGGGATAGAGGAGATTTTCAAGGGGAAGAAGAGATGTTCCAGGTGAAAGAAGAGATTTTCTAGGGGATAGAAAAGATTTTCAAGGGGAAGAAGAGATGTTCCAGGTGAAAGAAGAGATTTTCTAAGGGATAGAAAAGATTTTCAAGGGGAAGAAGAGATGTTCCAGGTGAAAGAAGAGATTTTCTAAGGGATAGAAGAGATTTTCAAGGGGATGAAGAGATTTTCTATGGGATAGAAGAGATTTTCAGTGGGAAGAAGAGATGTTCCAGGTGAAAGAAGAAATTTTCTAGGGGATAGAAGAGATTTTCAAGGGGAAGAAGAGATTTTCTAGGGGATAGAAGAGATTTTCAGTGGGAAGAAGAGATGTTCCAGGGAAAAAAAGAATATTTTCCAGAGAAAAGAGCCAACCCAGCACTGCAGGGATGTGCCAGCCCCAGCTGGGGCTGGGGGATCTGGGCTGTGTGAAGGGCAGCTGGGATTATATTTGGTTTATATCCCATTTATACATTCACAGCCTTGATGCTGCAGGTGCATGAACAATATATTTATGTGTATATATAACATAAATAACACAAACATATAGTGTACAATACAATATAACATAAATAATATCTATATCCAGTACATAGTATAGTATACACTATATAGTACAGTATATATTTAGCATTTATAATCCAAGCTAAAAGAGCTCTAAATGTGTCCCCCAAACTGCCAAGGTGCCCCAGATTGTTCAGCTGTCCAGGCAGGAGAATTCCTGGGCCTGTTTTAGCTCCAGGGATGCAGTGCAATCACTTTTTCAGACACTTTAATGGATCTGATTTTTAATTTGCTCTAACTAGGTCAGCAGATGAGGCTCAACACCCGTGTGCAAGGAACCCCCTCACCTTTCCCAAAAAACACCTGGATGGAGATGAATCCACCACTGAAGGGAAGGGAAATAAAGCTCCTAAAGCCAAGCAGAGCTGCCACTTTTTTGTTGAAGAAATATTTTGGTTTTGCTGCCCCAGAGAAAAGGCATCCCCAAGGCAACAGGGCTGGATTTGGTACTCATGATGGGATTGCTGGGACTTCTCCCAGGAACCTTTGGAAAGAGAAAACTAATAACAATAACAATAGAACTAATTTCATTTTTTTAATTAATTTTTTTCAATGAAAATGGTTTTCCAAGAGTCTCCTTGACAAAATCATGGTCCAGCCCGAGTTTCTTTGGTTCTTTGCCACATTAACCACACCAGGTGTTGCTTTTATTGAGGTCTAACCACCACTTAAGGAATTTTGCACTTACTGTGGTGCTGGGATGGTTCAACATCACTGAAAAAACAGCCACAGGCTCTTTCCCTGACAATTAAGGGTTTCCTGGTATTCCAGTTGTTTTCTGTGCAAAGAGAAAAAACAAAAGAAGCCAATTGCTGCTCTCCAGTGATTTCCAGATCTTTTGGATTCTGTTGTAAAATCAAAACACAAATTTTTCAAGTTTGCCAAAACATTTTCCAAGGAGCCAAATTTACTAACTTACTAATTTACTTGGCTTCCCACAATGTTATG